GTCGAGTAAACGTGACAATTGAATTAACGCTCGTTTCTCCGTTTCAACGTTGGTGAAACGTGTGGCCTAAAAGCCGGGGCGTTAAGAGGGCAAGAATATTCCTGGCGAAGCTTGCACGCGGCTGCATACAGAACCAGCAATAATACAAATCCAATGCTCCTTAGTAACCGGGTGGCAAAGAGCCAGTTTTAATGATTATTAATAATCAGTATTCATAGAGAGAGCGAGAGAGAGAGAGAGAGAGAGAGAGAGAGAGAGACGATTACGCGGCTCAAGAAGTGTTTTTAATTAGATCTCACGTTTCGCAAACTCTTTTAGATCACCGTAAAAATTATCATAATACTAGTTTTAATAAATACTAGTTTTCGGAAGATACGCTTCGCGGATATTCGCGCAAACTTGCGAGAAAACTTTTTGAATCTAGATCGATCAATCGAGATAGTAAAAAGACTTTTTAAAGATATTTCCGATAATCTAATACTTTTTCAGAACTTTTGAATTGCTATTTCGAGTGTTTTTTTATTTATCAATATTAATACGTTTACACTTACAATTAGAATAATATCGAAAGAGAAGTTGTGAATGGCTTCGCGAAATGCAAAAGGAGATTGGAATTGAGAGCAGAAGCGACCACATTGGCCACCACGTGGCCACGAGCGTTTCGTTTGCGGAAGCCAGACAACCTGTTTGTATCGAATAAACGCTTCCCTGTGAATGCGAGGAAAGTGCAAATTATCATTAACACCGGCTAATCTCACATGACCGAAAATTAGTTTTCCCCACACACGAGATTAAGCCAAATCTCGATTGTTGATTCTGTGCTACGCGAACAAAACGAAATCCTGTTGATTATTTTCAACTTCACTGTGGAAATAAAACTAACAAGTACACATAAATATTTCCGCACAACATCCAGCGAACGGCTCTTATGACCGTTTATACATTTGTTAGTTTAGAAATTTCGGAGCCTAAGAAAGATTCTTTAAATAAGTACACATAAATTTACATCAATTAAATTGTTTTAAATTCAGAATGTTGAACGTGTTTTAAATTTTGAAGAACTTGCGAACAGTCTTTGCATGTCATTTTACTCACAATTTACGGCACTTTTTGTGTTCGTTATTTGTATCGACCTCGCAAAGCTCTCGATCGATAGAGTATTCGCGATACTTTGATGCACGTATCCCGCGATGACGCGACGTGCCGCAGACGTCCTAACGGAATATTCGGTGCGATACAAACATTCCGGCAGGCGCGATCTGCATCTCATATCCGACTCCGTACGATCCGATGCCGCGGCGTATCTAGTTTGCACGTGAATTACATTACAAATGCAGTTACGGCGAGCTCAGCAGCGTCTCTGTATCGCGCTCTCGTTTTATTTCAACGTTAATAGCCAGGCGTCTAAATATACAATAAGACAATCGATATCGTTCTACAAGTTGTGACATGGTTCAAAGAGAGATTATCTGTTATCAGTGTTATGAATAATTAGCCAAACTCTTGTTCAAGCGCTGCTATTTTCAGGATTGATTATTAAATTGCTACCTAATATATTATTTATTCAAAACTTTGTCGAAATGAATATTGTGGTTATTTTAAATAAGTTTTCAATCTAGAAAATGTACATAACACAAAAATGAATTTTTATAACTATTTTTATATCGTTTTTTTGTTGAAAAAAAATTTTTTTAATTTAGTTTATAATGACCAATAATTAATAATACTCGCGACGTGTGGAATTTTTTATTTATAAATGAAAGAAAGAGAGAGTATCTTTATTCCTTCATCTTGATTGTAGTCGACTTGGCGAATATCCTGTGTATTCTTTTTCCTGCGGTCTCTTCTTGTTTACTTCACCGAATTTTCTCGCCCTCAATCCACTCAACCAATAATTCGATTTCCTTGTCGATCTACACGTAGCACCCCTCGTATGTGAATTTAATCGACGATACCCTGAAGACGGCTCTCACGAACCGCCCTTCTTATTTCCTGACCGACCGCGAGTCCGCCCCTGATCGATCCACGATACACGCTGGGGCGCGGATAATGCCCGGTCTTCGCCCGGTTCGAAACGGACGGAAAATTTCGGCCCTCACGGAAGAGGCGAGCGCACAAACCAGCACCTTCGGTATTTAATAAACATTCCGCGAAGGCCGCAGTTTCGCCGGAACGCGGCGCGCGGAAAGCCAGAGCACAGGGGGAGAATTTGTCTTCCGCCTTGAAACGGCCGGTTTGCCTTTTTACACCGTATTATCCTCTTGCGGAGAGAGAGAGAGAGAGAAGGGGAAAGGTCGTTGCTTAAAATCTTCATTCGATTTCCGCGGAAAATCCGATCCGTCGGCGACGACCGCGGGTATCCGCTCTCGCTTGGGGGCCGCGAAATTAATTAAATCGTTAACTGCGGACGAGTTCGTCCGGGCCGATATATCCGGCGCTTTTTTCCGTCCTTTCCGCCCTCTTTTCCGCGGTGCGGATCAACTCACCGAGTGAACTTCCCTTGATCCCCCGAGCCTCTGCTGCTTTTTCGGTATTTTTCCCCGAACGCGCTCCGGTCATACGCTCTCGAATACGACTCGTTAAACGCAAAGGGTTGCGAGCGCAAAGAGGGTTACATCGTTGTCACAGGAAGTTTTCATCTGGTCGGTTCGAGCTTGCACAGAAGGCAAATTTGTAGAGAGATTTTACGTTTTACGATTTACGATTGCTTGAAAATCGGTGTCACTGGCACAGAATAATGTCGAAGCGACTGAAAAAACAAATAATACACATGTCGAGCTTTTTATCAAATGCAAACATAATTGCGATTTCTAACCGTCAACTTTAAACAAAGGTACAAGCAATACAACGATACAAGTGGTTATATATAAATTACTTTTTCATGACAACTGTACATCCCCAAATATTATCATTTCGACGTTACATTACGAAATCGCGCGTGTAGTTCATTATTAATCAGTCTCCCACTATCTATTTTATTCTAAAAGCGAGCACCGCGCAAAACACAATCACGGTATTATTTGTCGGCATCTGAGCCGTAATTATTTGCACATAAAGCCTATTGATGCTTTCCGGAAACACGATCATATACGCAATCGCATCGCGCGAATTCGATATCAACTTCTATGGATACATTGCGCGCACTATAAATCGACGTATGCTCGATTTCAATTCGCGTTAGTATGGCTGCATACACGTGGTTCGGGAAACACATCGTGTTCCTTTGATATCGCACGAATTGGATTGCAATATTTGACAGCGAGCACAATTTTCACATTAACGCTCATCCTGTTTAGCTCTCCGGCGCTCTCTTGTTGACGGTCAGAATTTACGAAGCACCGTATTAATAGTTCGTATTATTATATAATGTTTCGGAATATATTAATTAGCGCGAATCGCGCGAACTCTTTGAAATCGCACGAATATCCAGTATGAATTTGTAAAAAAATTAATATTGCTAAATATTATATATTTATTTAAAATGCTTTAGTAGTTTGTTTATTTATTTGTTTGAAATGATAATAAAGTATACAACTTTATTCAATTCTTGCGTATTTTTTGATGCAGCCGAACCTTCGAATAAACGGGAAGAGTTCGATATACTATGTGTAATTTTAAATTATATGTTTAATGCTCGTTGAATGTTTAAATAAAAAGATAGGAAAAAGGCAATAACAAGCTAACATCTGATGTTCGGGTAAAATGCTTTTTTAATTCGAATTAAAAGAGAATTTTACATCAGGTGTTAGCTTGTTATTGCCTTTTTCCTATCTTTTTATGTAATTTTAAATTTGCATGAAAAACAACGCGAGTGTAATTTTTCGCAATTGTACAAATTCCGTAGTACGTTAACACGAGAAGATTTCGCCGCAACATTGAACACAGGAACAAGAGAGAAAGAGAGAGAGAGAGAGAGAGAGACGTGAACAGACTCGAGAAATACATCCGAGTATTTTCACTAGCCTATATCTCCCGCGACGCCGAATTTACATAAGCGGCTTTTCTCTGGTCGGGAGCTTTCCTCCCCGAGTCCTAAACAAATATTGACCCGGGGGTCGCTTCCTCCGGGGTGGTCGACGCCGTCGTCAAATGGTCCATGGCTGACCACCGTTCGCATTATCTGTAAACGCTTATTAAACGATGGGGCGAAGTGGGAAATTGTGATGTCACTCGCGACCTCGTCTCGACGACGTTGAGAGTCAAAGTTTAACAACGTTACGTCGTGCCCGTAAGAACAACACCCGGTTTCTCCGATTAATTGATACTCGGGGAACATTAGATGGCAATTGCGTTAACCTTTCGACCGCGAATCATCAGTCGTGTTCCTTGCCGTGGAATATGTCACACTGACGATGATTGATATCGCGAAGCTTGAATCGTGTGAAAATATTGCATAAAGTCTTGCAAACACAACACAAGTTCTTATGAAAGACAAAGCGATTAGTTTTAAAATATTTTAAACAAAACACTTCTCTCTATGTAATTTAATTAAAAAACTTTAAAACAGCGCTCGAAAGTTCCACGTTATTTGCGGTTTATTTGCGATATATTTTTTTCGCCGTCGTCGTAAATTCAAAAAGCTAAGTGAAAAAAGATCACATTGTATTTAGAAGAAAATGAAACTAAACCTCGAAGCAAAGCAGTCTGCTCGTTTGTAAGAAGCGCGATAAGAATGAGCAATGTGCTTGCTTAACTCATCGCGCAGTTTCCACGTAGAGTGTATTATTACGTGTCCTTGCTAACGACAGTTGGATGTAGCCACGTTAGCCGTTCGATCGTACGATTAGTCAGGCGTATCTCTGACTAATTGTGCAGTCACACACGAGGATGAATAATTGCGCGTTATCTTTGAGGCGATCGCTATACGATGTGTTGCCATTACTATCGTCGTCATTATCATCGCGCGCGTTACGAACGCGAAGATGCGTGTCGTAGAAAATAACGTGACGCAATACTTGGAAGTCACTGAGAAAAGTCTATGTTCCTGCAATTGGTTACAGAGCGCAAGCTGTTCGTCGGCATGCTGTCGAAAAAGTTCACGGAGAACGACGTCCGGAACATGTTTAGCGCTTACGGGATGATCGAGGAATGTTCGGTGCTGAGAGACAGCACCGGGAAAAGTAAAGCCTGTGCCTTCGTTACCTTCGCTAGTAAGCAGTACGCCATCAACGCTATCAAAGCTCTGCATCATTCCCAGACAATGGAGGTAAGTTGCGACCGACAATTCCGTCCTTCGTTTTTTCATCGTCAATTCTTTTCCTGCATTTTTTTTTTTTTTTTATTTTTTTTTTAAGTTAATTAAAGAATAATATCTCGGTCGTGTGTAGAAATACTTAGGTCACTAGGAGATATATTCACGATATGATTAGAAAGTCAGGACTGAACGACAGCGTGATCTTCTCGGCTCATTTCTTTTTCGTAGTGATTCAACCGTGCCGTCGGATGTATTGGCTCGATGCCACTGTCACTCGACGAAACATCCGTGTGCATTTACAACCCGGCTAGTCACCTCGGTAATATACCGATTTAACTCTCGGGGTAACTAAAACCGAGCAAGTAAATACGGTTAGACTCCTGGTCCGACACTTTGGCAATTCGAAGCTCGTCGAGACTTTTCCGTCTCCCTCCTTTGATCATTCACGACGCGTCCCTCGACTTCCTAGCTTCCGCAAATGCTAGAATAGGTATAGACAGGTAAATGTTATAGCGTCGGATCTTAGCGTCGTACAAAAACAGCGAAATGTTAATATTGACTGAATATTTAAAAAAGCTTAAAATCGCTGTTCTTTTTAATCTCACCTAAAAAATTTGTTTAGCGAGAGAAGAGTGTTAATATCTAACACTCTGTAAGTAACATTTTTTTCATTAGTAAATGATTACACTGTCATATATTAGCCATTCTAGTTTTATATCAGTAATATCAAAAAAATCCCAAAACAATCGCGCCACTTTTCTGTAATCACACGAAAATTCTGGCAAAAAAATGTTGACATTTTAATTATTTATTGCATCTAATATATCTCATAAACTTTTTTATTTTTTCATGTTTTTATGTATTAGCCATTGTTGCAGTTTTATGTCAGTGATATGTCACGCACTTAAATATTCAACAGCTCTCGCGAGACACAGCTGGCTGTTTCTGCGGAATGACTTCCTCGTTTTGGCGACGATACGCCTATGTAACTGTACTATTTCGAAAAGGTAAAAGCGAGCCGTTGCCAAGGCATGCGGGCACGAGAGCAATTCCACTTTAATATCACGAATATTTCCGGCTGCAGGTTCCTCGAACCTTGCTCGTTCGTCGCTCGTTGTACCGACACAACCGGTACGTCGATTTCGCGTCCGCGATTGCGTCTCACCCGTGCATTGTACGCGCAGTGCATCGACCTCTTGTGATTCGCGTTACCCTTTCGAAACGAGAAATATCTCTTTCCTTCGAACATAACGTTCCCGATCGCCAACGAATCTGTTCTCACGCCAATGTTGAACTTGGACTTGAACCAATAATGAATCGAGGAAAGAGGAACGTGAGATTCAGATGCGTAAACGCTCCAGAGCGAAGCGTCGTGGAAGATCGTAATAAAACAAAATACGTCAAATTGTGCGGCGGATAAACTTGTTTTTCCAAATTTTCGGTCGACAGAAAAGAAGACACGCTGTCGGTAGATCTCGAGAAATATTGGCAAGCACATTTTGAGATGTTATCGAATTATGATCGATAATTTTTTTATTTTTTATCGCGATTTTGCGAAATCGTGTAATTTTCAGGGTTGTTCGTCGCCGTTAGTTGTAAAATTCGCCGACACGCAAAAAGAGAAGGACCAGAAGAGAATGCAGCAACTGCAGTCGAATCTCTGGAACATCGCGGGAGTCAACATCGCGCCGCATTACCTGGCCGTAAGTGTGCTTAATATTTTACAATGAAAGCTCTTTGGCTCGTATCAAAGATTCCATTTGCATCGAGAACGAGAATACGGTTTTCATGGCTCGATCGCTTGAGTGTCTTACATGCACTCTTATGCATTATCTAGCATTTGAGACTCTTTGCACGGTAACCTCAATTTTGTTATGCAAAATGTATACAAAAAACCGGCAACTATGAAACTTTCTCGAAGACTGTGATCCGCGTTCGTCAAACGTAATGCAAACGCGTTCGATGCGGCTACTGAGGCTTTTGTTTCTGATGCTGAACGTTTCATGAGAGGTTTATATGAAACTTCACGAGAGCGTATTCTCTGGCGAATTTGCAATCAATTTCTTTTTACGGAAAATTTTAATGAAAAAGCGCGCGTGGAGATCTTGAGAACGTGTTTAAAATTCTAAACGCGGAAGAAAAAAGTACGCGAACATTTACAAATATTTGTATTTAAAATCCCAAGGATGATATCTCTGACAAATATTAAAATAAACAGATAAATATTATTTATCTGTTTATAACTTAAATGCGTAAAATCGAGTCGTTCTTGACTTATAAAAATTTTGAAATTGTCGCGCTGTAAAGAAAAGATGTGACAAGAACGATCATACAATCGAATGATGAAAATCGCGTTTGCTCGCAGAACGACGCGCACACCCTCGCGCCTGCATCGTTGCAGCTGTTGCAGCAGTTACAGGCGACAACGAGCGCGGCTACCCCTGTCGCCGCAAACGCAGGGGCGGCAAACGCACTGTCGAACGTGCAGCATCAGTTGCTGCTGCAACAACACCTTGGCCTCGGCGCGGCGACACCCGCGCACGCGGCACCTCCCGCCGTCCCCAGTCCGGCGGAGATCAACCCTGCGAATCTACAGAGTCTGGCTACCCTCGCATCCCTCAGCAACACCGCTGGTGAGTATGGTCAGTGTCAATCGCTTGTTATATTGTTATTTTTGTTACTACATTTTCGTTTCTCAATTATAATTTAAATTGCTCGAATTAAATATAAAAGATTTTTATTTCTAAGATTAAATAATATATTTTTTGTTAGATGTTATATACATATAACACGTTAGATATGAGTTATAATTTAAATATAAATTATATTTGCGACCTTGCTCTCTAAAATTATATTCGGCTGCATCTATATCGGTATTGGAATAATTTATGCGCTTACATTTTTCTTTAACTTCTATGTTGTTCCGATTGCGTCCCATCCGTTTCGAAAGTTACAACGAAACGTTCTGGCACTGGCTTTGCTCCGCAATAATAAAATTCTACGTTTAAGAACCGGGAAGGATGTCAGTACAATGAGATACATCGTCATATATCGCGTCTATCATTAACTTGATTTTAAAATATGTGTTTGTGCCGCTCGTTGCTGCGGAACGTACTGTCACGATGACGCGTTCCGGTGTCACACAACGAGTTCACTACGTGCGAACTAATCGTAGAACGACGTTTTACCTACTTTCGACGTACGGATTTTGCCTAAAGTTTGTCAGATAAAATATTAGCTTCAATATTTCCAAATATTGATCAAATTTGGCAATCGAAATTTTTAAGTAACACATCAATCCTTACTTAACTATACATATTACGTATTTGATTTTTTTATCTTAGCGCTTGATAGAAACAAAATATATTTAATATAAGTAAATCAACATTCTTCTTGCTCTTTTTAATTGATTAAAACAAGAAGAAAAGTGTTTAGCTGTGCTGTAGGTATTTAGTATTAGCTTTCATTTTTAATTAAATGTAATTTACATTCTCTTCGCCACAACAATATCACATGTTTAGAAATCACTGTTAGTTCATAAGACCGTTGCGATATCTGTGTAATGTCCGTCCGCGTTATTGTTGCGCAGCAAATGCAGGAGTGTCGCCGATGAGCATGCAGAACCTCGTTACCTTGGCAGCTATGACCGGCGGAAACGGCAATCTCCAGGTGTCGCCAAATAGTGAGTAGAGAACATTTCCCGAAAGTCACGCATAATCTCAGAGAACGCTCATATTATCGTGCATTAAATTCCCGAGAGCCGAACGCTATTCAGCGCTTTGAGATTTTAACCGCATTTTCTCGTCAATTGTACAAAACACCTACACGCTTGTGCATCACGTACGGTTTTGGCCGTATCGTGAACAATAAATCCGCTTGAGCGAGGAGTTTAATGATTGCATGCATTATTGAAGCACTGGTAAACTGTCCACATTTTCGTAGAGTATGCATGACGGAATCGTCACGATTACTGCAGTGATAATAATGCGAAGTATCTGCACGTTCGTCCTCGTAAAGTGTATTAATAGACTGTAATTGTAACATGATGGGGCACGAGATGCGTCTAGCTATATCATATATATATATATGAATGTGTGTATATAGGAGTCGCCCGGAAAAACAGCATTCATTTATTATTTCCATAAACTTTTCCTGTCTCTTGATAGTTTTAGTCGTGAAATGCACAATTTAACGCAGCGTAATGAATTTCCTCGTGGAAATTCATTAAAACCTTTTTAGTAATCCCCGTATCTTTGTACGTAACGTGTGCACGCCAAATCGTGTAAATGTACGAAGTCCGGAGGTAAGATGTATGTTTTAAGTTGATTGCGCAATTATCTTTTTACTGCCTCTCGTCTGTATCAGCGGGACAGGCTAACACACCTTTATTACCTCGCGTGTCCACGATATGACGTTTCTTTCATGATTTATGTAAAGGCAAACGAAAATGTAAGTCAAGTATGTGCGAGTCGCTTCATACGTTGCGTTCTTCATACGCGCACGCAAGTTACGCGATAGAGTGCTGTTTGAACAAGGACGAGTTCTTCAAACAATTATAGCGATTAATCAATCCAACGCATTGTGGGACGAGAAATTTTTTAATTGCATTAAAAAATTGGTTTCCGCACACGGAACATTTTATATTAAATTTATAAACATCGTATAAGTTTACATATCGATAAATTAATATTTAAAACCAAATTAAAGATTACTGGCCAATTGCTGGTTTAATTTCTATTGGAGTATCTTTAAAATAACTATTTCTTATTCGATTCGCAATGATGATGTAAACCGGTGGAAATATATTTTGTACACGTTTTCAACTTGTTCTCGCTAACTTGATTCGCGTCGCATTATTTTGACACAAATAAACGCGTATCGTTGACTCTGCAATTTCGCAGTTGCAATTAAAAATACAATATCGGCACTGGGAAAATCCCGTCAAAGTTGCATTTTGTGTAAATATATTTATATACATATACGTGTGCACATATACATATTAGTGATTCCGCTTACTAATATCGCGAACGTGTTCTGTGTTTCAGCATTAAGCGGCCTGGCGAATTCGACAGCAGGTATGTCGCTATGTACGTGTCGCATTGCCTGGTACAGTATTAACAATTACTAAATTAATTTCGATCATGCAAAAGGGGCCCTAATCCCGTTGACGGTCTGATTTCCCTATTTCGCTTATTTAATAGTCCGCGCGCGCGTGTGCATGCGTGCGTGTTATTCCTCTTTCTCTCTTCCGAAAATCCTCTCGTCGTTTCTATCTATATTTCAATTTCCATGATGGACCCAAATACACCTTGTGCGATCGTACGCCGGATACTAAGAGATTATCTCGAGGGCGAGCTATCAAAGCCGTTTTAATGCGCGATCTCAATTAAATAATTAATAATTTAATTATACTTGGATGTGAAATCAACGTTTTTATTTTTTATTTTGCCCGAGCTTGTCGTATAACAAATTCGCTAAATGAGATGAATGTCAAATTGGCATATGATTATCGAAAATATAAGAGTCACAATACACACAGAAGGTCATTGTATAGAAATTTACACTACGTATAATTTTAATTTCAATGGCGTTTTAATTATAATCGAGATACTTATGCAGCACGTTGATGCTATTATGTAGATTTGCATGCAATGGCCTTAAGCTACAGACAGAATTATTCCATTATTTTCGCACAGTATATATGCCACACAATGACTGGCACGTTGCAAACATATTTTATACGTTATGTTTTCTTTTTTTTTTATACATACAAATGTTATACGTCGCAATTTTAACGCGTGTTATCTTTTCTCGTGCGTAGCTGCTCTTCTGGGGAAAACAGGAAATACAGGTAAGATATTCATGGGAGACAAGTTTGGCTGATTCGCATCCTTCATTTTAGCGTACCGCAAAATGTACTTAATCTTCCTTATCCCTTTCCCCGTCTTTCTTGTATAATTGTAATTATTTTATCGTTGTTTCTTTTGTATATATTTTGTTACGCAAGATCAATAACCATATATTGTTGGTTGCAAATTTACTTAATCAAACGGGTCTCTCCTAATTCAAGCTTTTTATGTGTGAAAAGTTTTGTAGAAAATAATAAAATTTAATTTTTCGATTACGCTTTAATTGAAATATCGCGACGATAGTTATATATTGTACACATAGGTATGTATTTTATTCACAAACGTGAACAGTTAAGCCAATTAGTAACTGATTGGTGCTGCATGGTGGATTGTTGTGAAAACTTTCGCAGACACTGAATTAACGTATTTAATTGGCAAGACCCGGTGGCGCTTTTAGGAACGTACTTTCATCCTCTAATAATCGTATCACTCTAAGTTTTAACAATATGTACATATATACCGGAAACTGAATTATTGTGTGTGTGTGTGTGTATGTGTGTATATCTGAGATGTATGAGACGATATAGGATACTTGCACAAACGCTTATCACAATTAACTTGGTGCACGATTTTCCGTAATGAGAATTTAATCGACGACGATGTGTATGTAGAATAAAAGAGAAGATTAAAATTATTAAAAAAAAAAAAAAAAAAAAAAAATTGTCACAATAAGAACATCATTGAAGTTTTTAATATCTTGTTTTTGTGTGTCACACCATCTAGTACAAAAATATATAATTTGTTTTGTACAAATAATTTGCTTTTTGCCTTTATGTAACAACAAATATTCGGAGCGACCGTCGTCGTGGCGATGTCGCTGCATGTGAAAGGCATGTCGGAATTAATTGGAAGGTGTTGAATTTGACTCTTAAAAATCGCGTAAAGTCAATAGTCGTGATATTTCGTATTTCAAGGGTCCACCGGAGGCAGCCTTAGTCCTGTGACATCGCTCACGCTCAACTCGCTGACGGGGACACCGCTGAACGGGCTTCAGGACTCGCTGAGCAACGCCTATTCCAGTTTGCAGCAATACGCAGGTAATTATTGCATATCTGGCTTGGCTACTTTCAATGTGTACAGAGAATTGCGAGAAACGCAGTGTCCGGACTGCCTTTACGCGTGAACAAGTGCTACTTTCTAATGAGTGAACTGTGCGCATTAAAGCTCTCATTGGAAAGACGACGGTGACCGTGGAAAAGAAAGAATTACATAGTGAGTAACAAAGTAGACCTGTCTAACTATACATTTTCTGTGAATCGTCCACGTATTTTTTTCTCAGTGTCAAGTCGTTCATATGGTTGGTCATCGGGGATCAACGTTTTTATTGCATTTTAAATAACATTGGCGAATAGTTTTATAACCCTATAATGCATACTCACGATATTAAAATTGGTTAATTTTTTTGCAACGTTGAAAATATCGAAATATGCAACACACAGAAATGCGGAAGTGAACCAAATGAACGCTTGAAAGAAAACAGCTGATAAGTTTGCATGTGCCTATTGAAATATCCACGTGTCTAGCGCATAAGACGCACATAAAAATATGTATTTTACAGCGAGTAATGTGGGAAGCTTTTTAACATTGCGTTATAATTTGTAATATAATTTTATCATCGTACAACTTAGTTTTGTATGTAGATTATATTGAAAATAAGACAATATTCAAATATAAGTTTTAAGCTGGGATCCCTAAGAGTCAATGCGTAGAAACGTTTAATTGGTTTATTACGCTAGGTGACATAAGTCAAGTTTCGAAAAACATTCACTTCGCTACTAACAATAAGATACAACTATATAAAACTCGTTAAACATGTATTTTCTTCGACGAGATTTGCGGGATTTGATTTATGTCGCTCTTGAAAAAGTTGTCGCGTGTAGAAAGTTGCGACGCTCACGAGCGTCACTCTGAAAACGTACATTCGTATTTCAGGGTTCCCCGCGTTCACTGCGGCCGCGGCCGCCGCCGCCGCGGCGGCGCAGAAAACGAAGTTCACCAATACGGACAAACAGATTGAGGGTCCCGAAGGTTGCAACCTTTTCATCTATCACCTGCCGCAAGAGTTCAGCGACTCGGACCTCATCTCCACCTTTTTGCCCTTCGGCAATGTCATATCCGCCAAAGTTTTCATAGATAAGCACACGCACATGAGCAAATGCTTCGGTGAGTTGATTCGTGACGGAAAAGACGCGAGTTGAAATAGCGCGCGATGTATACACAAACAAACGAGAAACGAACGGAATGCGTAATTTTGCACTCTTGCGACGTCGTGTTGTTTCAGGTTTCGTGTCATATGACAACGCGTCGAGCGCACAAGCGGCGATTCAAACGATGCACGGTTTCCAGATCGGCATGAAGCGGCTGAAGGTCCAACTGAAACGGTCCAAGGACGCCTCCAAGCCGTACTAGCCGACGTCACAGAGCGTTCGTAGGTAGATACCAAGGACTTCTCGGACATCACACAACCCGATCCGACGTCCTCAATTCGGACGACGCTCGCGCGTTTAATTAACAACCGTCGATTGGTTGATTGATTACATGCCGCAGAGCGGAGATCTTGCGTCTTAGCAATTTAGGTCTTAGATAAACAAAGAAAATATCAGGTGAACAGTACTTCTCACGATGCTCTCTAGTCAAGCGGTGATTTTTCACGAAGGTGTAGCGAGCTAACACAGACGGTCTACGATCGAAAAGCGTCCGTCCTTCGAAGAGGAGACGTCGCCGCTCGACACCTTCGCCGTCCTATCAAAACGAGGCTGTGATAATCCAGAAGACTCTCTTGTCCGTCGGATTGACTTTTCTTCCGAGGTGCAGGAACGTAATTTATCCTATTTAAACGTGTCGCTTGTGCGAAATTTGTCCCGCCGAAAATTGTCTTCTTTCTCTTCTACCTGCCGGGGGATTTCTGCCCATGTGTGAATTTCAAGCACATTTTAATTCAAGTCTGTCTTATTCTGTTCACGTCTGTGCCACGATGTCGTAGTCACGTCTGTTTAACCTTTTCAGTAGCCAAGTTTTTTTTATTACATAGAAATTCCGCTTTTTTCTTCAACAATTCATTCCAGTAATTTTACGGGAGACACACACGATAGGAATTAATGAATTAATATTAACACGTTATTGTTTTTTTCCGGCGGTTTAACTTTATCGAATAGATAATAATTGACTTCAGAGACTATGACTGATGGTTCCTAAGTTCAATTTTGGATCTAGCGTAAATCCGATGAGAGATATTAATTAATTAAGATTAATTACAACACGTTTTATATCTATTTATTTAAATATTTACAAACAGTTTATATATTAAAGTGACTAGAAATTCGGAGACACGTTAATATGTTAAGTCAACATAAAATTTGCACGCAAAAGAGCGTGCAGATATTTTATTATCGTAAAAAAAAATGTGTATCTATCAACTAGATTATCTTAACCCAAGATACGTACATACTTCTGTTCATATAATGTGCACCGGTAACTTTCCAAATAATAATAACAATGGTTCTAGTATATATATATATACTTCTTGTGTTCATACAAAATGAATAAAAAAACTTTTCAAGATGGAGTAATTCTCGAATTAAAGTTTGCTGTATCTTTGTTAAAAAAAAAAGAGATATTTCATATAACGTCAAAAAAAAAAAAAAAAAAAAAACGTTTGCTCATTCCTGTAAATTCAATTTATCTACGAAGAGAACACTTAGATATAAATAAGACATACATGAAAATGTTGAGCTCTGCATTCGTTGCAAAACGGATTTTTCTCAGATATCGCAAACACATTCTCGTATTTATTGCACGGTGTCAAAGACACGTTCGTTTCTTCGTATATCTCGAAAGTCCTGGCGGCACGTTCCCCCCGGATGATGCAATCAAAAAAACAAAAAAAAAAAAAACATCTCATCGCAAAGGCTGCCAGTAAAGCTTTCTGTGCTAACTTACTGTTGCACAAAGTGGAATTACGTACGTGAAGTTCACTAACAAAATACGTAGCTTTTTCCCCCTCCATAGGAAAGTAAAAAACATAAAAAGTAGTTTCGCTTTTTGAATTTTCACGCAGCGTTCAAGTCTCGTACCTTGTATAACCATTTTGATGATTTGACTTTTTTCTCTCTTTTTTTTTTTCACTTTCTCCTACATACTTTTGTAATTTATACTCTTTCTATCTTTCTGTCTCTAGCTCTTTCTTTCTCTCTCTTTCTTTGTCTCAATAACCATGTAGTTTGAGCCGGCAGATACCGAAAAATACCTAAAGGATCTACCTCACTCATTGTATACTCACGTCAGCAGCTATATATATATATATATACACATATATAGCTGACAGCTATATATATATATATATATATATATATATATATACACATTATGCCGCGTGTTATCCTTCGTTCAGTGTTCGAGGCGCATAGAATTCGATACGTTTTCTCACGTGATATAATAATATCACTAAATCTTTTTTTTAATGGTTAATCACGCTACGACGCTTTATTAGTTAGTACTAACATTGCCATGTGATTTTTGGGGAAGGGGGGAGGGAGGGGGAGAGCAAAAGAAAATGCAAGCTGCGGTCGTTGCAAGTGATAGGCAAGCCAATCGTTTCCGTCAAAATAATTGTAGAAAAGTGTTTTTTTAATTTTTTTTTATTTTATTTTGATTACGTCTTATTGAGTTGTATATAATATTTTTGCTTTCAAACAATCAAGAAACAAACAGCTTTTTCAACTTGCGAAACGGCTGGCGCTTGTGTCGCATGTACAATCTGAACGATTAAAACGTTTGTTTTGCAAATCTGAATCCGGAAACTGTCGGCACAAAATTTCACCGACCGCGTTGCATTAGCAACGAGTTTCCACCGATGCGCTGTCGAACACTTTGTTTCCTTGTGACTGTCCAAAGCTGAACAAAGTGGATGCTCGTTGCTCGTGTCTGAAACAGACGACTCGGCAAACTACCTGTGTACACGATGCGCGGTGGCGTTGATTTGCAAGGCTCTGCGAGCTTTTCGCTTTTTTATGATGTTACCCATAATAATCAAAAATAATTTTATCTACTCGTCGCAATTTTTTTTATCACAGAGCTGTGTATATTTCAATTCAATGCTTCAATCGGTGATTCAATTATTTTTCAATTTTCGCTATAATAAAAGCAAAATTACGTCTATTCTCTGTGAGAAAAAAATACATATTATATCATTTGTTTTTCTCTTCTGCACGCACACATTCGTACTGCGGCGAGTGCAAAAGTGGATCACTTTAAAATTGAATGTGGCACTTTACGGACGCGCAATTGGACTTAGCAAGTCTCGCAAGGCCTCAAAGGAAACATCACCGCGCGCGTTTGCCCGGGGTACAGACCTTCATATCTGGTGTGTGGTGGTGACTAACCTGTCCGTGTGTTTGTTTGTGTGCCAGCAGGTGGCCTGTGACGTTGTGACCGTGTACTCTCGATCGGAGTCGCCGTGCCATGTCAGTCTCAGTCAGTCAAATCGGTATCGACCGGTATCGACCGGTCGATCGATCAGTCACGATCCCCTGGTCAGTCTTTCGATCAGTCTATCTATGTCTGTCGGTGCCTGTACAAAACAGCAACACTCGCCCAACGCGCTCTCACTTTCGTCGTATATGATCCTTCGTCCCGAACCTTTTCTCTCTCTACATTTTCACATCCTCTTGATTCCTCGCGCGTCTCCCAACACCAACCTCTCTGTCTACGAGAACGTCGTTCGTGTTTCGTGATCGCACAGAGAGGATCACTGGCGATCCTCGAGAAAGATTCTCGCGTCTCGTCCTCTTCTCTATCTTCGACTACGCATGCAAAACGCCGGACGAATCCTCGGGACTCGCAGCAGGAGAATTGACGATAGGAGATGGACGTGCGAAAACACGTCTGCGCACGCAGAGGAATACGGACGAAGAGGGCGAAGAAAGAGGGACGATGAGAAAGACGGAAGACGATGCACCGATTGCCGAGCTGGGTTCCTCGAAACTGACGCGTTACGTTAACGATTGTCTGTCCATTTCTCCTTTGTGTGTGTATATATAAAAAATTATATATATATATGGGCACATATTACGTGCACGCGCGTGTGTATGGTATGTGCGTGTGTATGTTAAAAGCGCGGCAAGGATACTTTCGTATCTACCTGGCGGCGCTCTTCATCGCAAAGATGAAGAGGGACAAAGAGACGAAAAAAGCGCGCAAATTGCGCAAGAAATTTTCTTATACATAACTATACATATAAATAAATAAATATATATATATAGGTATACATACATGTTCATAAATCGAATTATCGACTGAGAACTATTTTTATCGGCTCTACTGTCGAGATCGCTGTCAGCGCCTCGCCAAACGCCTGTTTATATAAATACGAAATATGTACACTACACGCCACCTAACACACACACACACACACATATATATATATATACACATGTACGTCACAGCGAACTAATCGCAAGTGACATGAATACGTGCGTGTGAAGAAGCGCGGCAGACAGAAACGCGAAAGGACGAACAATGATCGCGCGGTAACGGCGACTTCTTGTAGGCTTAGGTCACGCAAAACATACCAAAAACGAAACTGATACAAAGAAACAAAACCGATGTAGGTAGTGGCAAATATAAGAGACATTTTGTAGCTATGACTTTGTGATAAGAAGATTGTACTATATATATAAGGAGGGGAAGAAACTGGGTTTTTCGGGGCCGCATTCTGATCCTCCATGGGGGCCCGATGGTGTCTCAGAACGCGAGACCACTGGGTCAGATCGCTCAGGAGTAACACGTTAAGTGTCACACACGCACGCGTTCGATTCCACATCGCCATCACAAAAATCGTTTCGCGAACATAGACAAGTAACACGAGATGCGACAAGTTTTCAAACGTTTGAACGAGTTTTCTGACCGCGCGCTCATCGCGATCATCTTTTTGTTTTTCATCGGATGCACGAAATTTACGCGATTAGTCTTTAGCTCTTTGTGAAAGCTGGGTATGGGACCGATCAGATGAGTTGTTTGGGTCGATTCAACGAGCTCCATTCACACGTTTCACTGGTTCGATTTGCAGAATGGAAGCAACTTCGCGATCAGAAACAAAAAAGCGAGAGATTCACTCGAATAAGATGGCGTCAATATTTGCAAAATATTCCGGGACAATTTACTCCTGTAACAGAGTGGTTCTCTAATTTACGAAATAATCCTCGCTTTTGCTGCGTCTCGTTGTGAGAATAAAGCAAACACATCATTAAGTAACACGTTCTGACTTTGTTTCAAGTGAAACAGAAATCTAGACATTTTGTTTTCGAATAAGATGCAAACGATCGGATTGCCGCGAGCAAATGTTTTCACGTACCAATTATTATTTTCAACTTGATAATGTTTGATTAAAAAAACAATCAAAGAAGCAATGCGATTCGAACGAATCGAAATGTCAAAGTCTGCACAGGGTCTAATGAAAAGCGAGTCGTTCTCAATGCTCTAGTCTGAAAATGCTTCTGTAGATATTAACTTAATAAAAAAACTGTGAGATATCTCAAAGAGAGCTGAGAAATCGTGTTACAAAAGAGAAAAAAATCAACATTTTAGATAGAATTTTCAACTGCACTCATTGTATCTTTTTTTTTTCGATAATCTCATGTTACAAGAGATAAAACACACGCATAAACAAAGTTTGCTATAAACTTTAAAGTTTTTTAGAACATGATTTTGTCTTTTAACAATGTGTGTTGAATAATATTACATATTTAAAAACTTCTAAAACTTTTTCACCTTTTGATACGCAATTCAAAATTATTATTGATGTTTAAAAGATATCTTGTACGAAAATATATATTCAAAATATTAATAAAAACAACTTCTGTGTGAAATAGTTCAAAAGCTATAAAAGCGCAAAACTATCTCGATCTTTTGCAATTTTTAATTTTTATCTTTTAGGAGCATGTCTCTTAGATTTCTGTTATTCTTGAAAACTATTATGTTCTTTCTTTGTTAAAAATATATATACATATATATATATATATATATATATATATATATATATATAATAACGAACGTCAAAATTTTCTGTAAAATTGAATGCTTTTTTTATTTGTTATACTATTTTAGTGACTAGAACTTGAATTTCGCGCAGCTTCCTTCCTAAAGAAATTGCCATATTTTTTTTCTTACGCTTGTCGTGTCACGTGACCGTTCATGATCGCTATCCACAACTCAGTTTCACAATATCCTTTGATTCGTTGTTTTTATTTTTCTCGCGTAATCTTGTCTATATTAGAACAAGTTTGCGTTCATTTAATTACAGAATGGCAACTATTTTGTCTTTTTTTTTACAAGTTTCAATTATCTATAATAAACTTATAGCAATATTAATTAATTTTTTGACGCTGCGTTATATTTGCCTTTATTTTGAAAATGAGACAACATTAAATAAATCTTTAAAATAAATTTAAAACTTAAATCACATTAAATATCCTCATAAAATAAAAAATAAATTTGTTTTGTTCTCTTTATTATTAACTGCCGTTCGTGATTAAATGTGCGATCTTGTTTTATCTTGTTTATTAATGTTAACATAGGCACATGCGTCAGACCAAATAAATGGAGCAATCGGCGTCGTTTTTTTTTGTTTGTTTTTTTTTTTCGAAAAATAGAATTTAAGCGAAAAAAACAATTTTATTTGACATTTTTAATTAATTGTCTTTGGCAAAAAAATGCGGACGTCGCGCTCCGTGCAGATTACCAAAGATGTGTCTTTAACTAATTGATGTACTTACGCAACGCTAACGACTAATCTAACACAGATTAAGTCGATTTTGATTAACAGTAGAAGAGACAAGTACGCATTACACATTAGTCTTGTGCGTTATATACAAATAGAGCCTAGTCACAAATATCATTTATCAATTGAACAGTCGCTTCTATGTTCGTGTCATCTTCATCATTATTCTTTATAAGCACGCACGTTGACATTGTTGTTAGTGCTGCTACGTTTATGGCTATTGCTATGTTTATCCTTGGCAGAGATAAATTTGTTGCTACAATTTGATTATTATTATTATTATTATAGATAATTATTGTTACATACATATTATTATCTCTTTTTCTCTATGATTATTTTATTATTCTTAGTATTGTACAATTATATAGTGCTAGAGAACACCGCTTAAAATATGATTAATAGTATGTGACGATTATATGTATTTCTCTATTACATTTTAATATGTATTATCACACACACACGAGCACTTCGTGCGCGACAGCGATCGCGATTATCGCCTGTTATTGTTGCCGATATATCGATCGCTCGCTGATTTAGTGCCGCGATGGCAAAAATATCAGTTTCATTCAGGATCGGAACACCTTCTTAAGATACATCTTTACGTCCGGTTTTGCAAATGTACGCGCGAACGATTTCATTCATTCGAACAAAAAAAGACGAATCATGTGTCAACTTTACGAGATCACTGTAAAACAGTCGAATGAGAAGTAATATTTGTTTGGACGGTCGTTTTTGAACGAACATTTACAATGTTATAAGACGCGCGATGTACTTACGACGTTGATATTGATTTAGTATTTGTTCTTACGTTACAATTATCAAAAGATTGAACGAACTGAAACGCACGAAAGTTTTTTGTTAATAATCGCCGACGTACTTGTAAACGTCTGTGACAAAAGTGATTGTCGTTTTCTTTGCGACTAAGAGATGCAAACGCAATAATTCCTTGACAAAAGTAAGAAAACGATTTTGTATTATTGTACACAAATCAATCTATTTTTAGTTAAACTGAAGATATATGAATATTTGCTCTTGCATCTCATATATATTACATAAAACATTTATTATTATAGAACTTAAGTAACTTCACCACACACGTTAATAATGTAAGATTCCTTTCCTCTTTACTCTCTTGTATACAAATTGATTAATTCGCTAATTTTCTTTTTGGACCGACGTTTGGCACGGCCGTCTACTTGTATTATTATTTTTACCTTTCGATCGTAAATCGAAATCTGTGTCGATATATTCTTGTTTTTAAATGTTTGAGCAATATTATTTCGTGAGACTATTGTTATGCCGTTGAGTATATCATCTTTGCGTCGTTAAAATATTAATAATTTGTCGTGCTTCTTTATTTTTGTTTTCTTACATGCTGAAGATAGAATTTGTTCTTTTTTTTCTTTAATTTGTTCGTCCAACGCGTTTCTCCCCTGGTGCAATTTACTTTACACTTTTTTTTTACTTAGAAGATGGAATGCGTCCTGTCGGAGCAATCGAGATAATGAATCGTGTCCAGTCTATCGCAAAGTGCCCTTTGATTGTGGCAAGTTGAGTGTGTGATATTAGTTGGGTGTGTCAACGAAAATATTGTTAAATTATCATGTTTCACTTTAAAAGAAAAACGATAATTTATAATAAAAGTGTATAAAAACATTAATGGGTTTAATTAGCCAATCGCTAATATACATCGCTACGATACATTTATTCACAGAATTTATAATGACAAGAATGGAAATATATATTCTAATACAAAATTTTCAGTGTCAGATATCATCACTCAACGTGTGAAAACCGTCGCTTTACGTAAATCGCAAATGTAGTGTGTTGTTCAGTACTTAAGTGATTGCAAAAAGTACTTATGCATGTAAGACATAATTTATCTACATTTTTAAATAACTTGTTCGTATATAGTCGGACGCGATTGTAACATATTTTACGATTAACTGTTCTATCGAAATGTGTGACGAGTTTTTCTGTGTATCAAGTGAATATTATTGATTATCAAATGTGTACGTGACTTAAGTTAAAAGATTATCGCGATGATTCGAAGGACGCAGTGAATCCTATTCTTCTTTTTATTATTATTATTATTATTATTATTATTATTATTATTATTATTATTATTATTATTATTAGAACGATTTGACCCTCGACGATCGAAGGACAATCGTGAATTGCGATGCAATGTCGAAACTTTATATCGCTGTGTGGTTACTCCACGTGCACATTGCGACGGCTTTTCACGTGTGCGTGCATACGCGCACACACGCTCGGGCATTAAGTATGTTTTAGTGTATCTCTGTACACGTACGGATCTATACATATTGATGTAAAATGTCTGCGTGTACGATGTTAATCATCGCCTTCTGTCGTCGCGCTTTAACGCCGTTGTTTTCTTTACTGTTGATTCTTTACTTTTTGTTCAGCTTTTTCTTTTTATGTTCTTTTCGTTATTTCTTTAACTAGTGGCCACCTGTTTATTGATTTTAAAACGATCGGCGGTGAAATCGCGGAGACCGTAGGCGCACATCGTTGAATATATATATATTTTTTTTTCTGTTTCGCTTTGTCTACAGCGCAATTAGCATGTGGCATACATGTTGAAAATAACAATACATGTATTTATTTTGTTGTTTTAATTCTTTTTCTTCGCTTTATTACCGTATTTTCCAGATCCTGATTCTCCTTTAACCGTTCTTCAGCAGAATTTTTGTAGAAAAGCTGTGCCCCAACGCATACTCGATTTAACTCCTTAATAATGGACTCTGTTTTTTTTTATTTTTTATTTTTTATTTTTTATTTTATTTATTTATCAAGAGAGATAAAAATATATATACTAAGTTATTTATTTACGAAAATGCGAAAACTTATTTATTACTTATGCTGAATTATTGTATAACACTTAAGGAGTTAATTTATTATACGAGCAATGGCCTTTTTTATACGTATTTTTTTTTGCATTGTATATACCTGTATGTGTACAGCGTGCTTAAAAAAATACTAATGATATAATTATCGCTGCTAATGAAAGAAATGTTGTATATATACAAGCAACTAATCGTTTTACGGCAACTTTCCTGTTCACATATAATTTATTTATCAATACTGAAAGTTTCTACGATATTTTATAAGCAATGAAAAACGCGGCATAAATTAAAAATTTGTTGTTCAGCATTGTTTTATTTCATAGATTTTACAATTTTGTTTTTTTTTATTGCATCTGCGCACGTGTAAGTATGAATCGCAAATGAGAAGACGAAAAGCAAGCAAAGCTGTTTGAACGACTGCTTTAAACTATAATTATAAATGGCCCCTCGAGAGATAAAAGTAACACGTAAGTTAACTTGGACCTAGCTAGAAATATTTCCTCGTTCGGTCAAACCAAGAAGCGTCACACTTTTTTATCATAAAACTTGACACTTTTATACGTATGTATATAAACTGAATGAAATCACGTTTACACGTTTTACCCGAGAGAACAAACGAGAAAGTTCGTTGTGTAATAACAACGCTTTCAAAAAGCCATTTTGCTCTTGTGGCTTAAAAATTAAATGTAAGATCTTTAATTTATTTATGTGTGTAAAAAAACGATATGTATTATTTATTGAATTGAAATTAAACGTAAAACATATGCGCTGACTTCCCTCTTCCAAAGGTATAAGAACACTTGATTACTTGAAACAAGTTGCGGGAAGCTCGATCTGTATAAATTACAACTTGTATTCCAGGCTTGACATAAAAAAAAGTCTCTTTTGTCGTCTTATTTGTGTCAAGTCTCCGATT